CTCACCTCGACGTCTTCTGACCGACCCTGCTGCACGTCACCCGTGAGTGTGCACCCATTAAAAAAAAGACTCGTAATTCATTGAATTCTCAAATGCATTTTGCCCTTTACGAGTGACCTTTGGCCTTGTGGAAACATCAGTGTGTAAATGTCAAAAGACTTTTTGCCCAACTTGCTCTTTGAGCCACGAAATTGTCTGAGGATGTCCACCGGTCTGCCTCTCTGTGACTCCTCCAGTCTCTGTCGCAATCTCTGGAGGCATTTTGCCTCCCCCTCTCTACCCAATGTCCCGAACTTTTTTTTTGTCTGATTCGTCACGTCTCAGGTGAGCCCGTCTGGCGGAGGCAAAGCAAAACCTCGGAAGGGGGCGGAGAGGCTTATGCGCAATTAATTCCGACAGGCTGGAGGCGGCAACAACCGGAGCGGACAAACCAGCGGAGAGAGCGACCGAGCGCAGGCGAGAAAACTTGGGAGCAACGACGACAAGGTCGCATCCGTCCGGGTGAGCCGAGCGCACCTCATCCAACTTGCTCCGTGCAATCCAAAACGCCTTGGATCAAAATTCATCTCCCGTTTGACAGAAGAGTCACGAGCGTTTTGGCCGGGACGACCGTCTTGGGTTTCTGAGGCAAGTTCACCTCCCGCTAAGCCTTCCAATGTTTGTTTTGGCCCGCTAATCCACTTTGCCTTCGGCCGGGCGCGCCGGCACCGGATGCAAAGTGGATTGAAATGATAACAAAAAGCCATCGTGCTCAATTGTACCGAGAAATCTTTTGGAATGGTTTGCAGGTGTAAGATGAAAAGAGCTTCAAAAAGCAATTCCCATTGTGGCCTAAATGTAATGATGCCTAGATTTAGAAAATAAAAAAATGGCCACCCAAAAAAAAAAAATCAAATATTGGTGTTCTCGTGTCATGTGACTTCAAAAGTGATGGACGAGGATAAAGTTCATTTGACGCAGTCCCGAAACATTTTTCAAGGACTATTCTAGAATGCATTTCAATAGTTTGGATTAAAACGAGGCCTTTCAAGTTTTTTTTTTTTTTTTGGAACAGGGTTCCCACTCTTCCACTTGCTTTTTATTTATGGACCTTTTAAGGACGTTTGAGGGCTAATGTAGCCATTTTTAAGGACTTTTTCTCCATTCAGCAGGGGATTCACGGTCGATTTAATGCCCGCTCAGCAATATGCGGGTTGAACAGAAAGCCGCATCGCACTGAGCTGGTGTTCAAATCATACTGGATGTAAAATTTCCATTTTTCGACCTGTATAATAGGTAGGAAAATGAAAAAAAAAAACGGGTGGCGAATGGTCCTGTCGCCGGAGGAGGCCGCTCATACATCGCGCCTCTTTCCTGGAGGGGAAACGGGCGCGTGTTTTCGTCCGCAGGGGGCGGCACTTGGGCGGCTTACTCAATCGTACGCGTTTGAGACGGAGGACCGGATCATTTTCTCGGATTGGGCGGAGCTGGTACTCACGGGGCGGGAAAGCTCGGAGGTGGGCGTCGGGAGGAAAACGGGCGAGGACTTGACATTTTAATGTGGCTAAAATCTCAAAAAAAGGATTGGTGGAGCACGATATCGGCCCTTTCGGCTCTCATTGAAACGATACCAATAAAATGTCACCGTAAGACGCAGGGTCGCCACCCAAAAAGGCTTCAGGTTAGGACCCCGTCCGTACTACTTGGGGGGGTTTCAGGGGGAGAAAGTGGATTGCAGCGTTCTACATGTCACGTGCAGCACAGCGGGCAGGTGGTTCCACCAGAGACTGACAGACTAATGTCCTTTAGAAGTGATTTTTTTTTTTTTTTTTTTTTTTTTTAAACCTGTACATTTACCTCAAGTGAAGATAATTGTACTGTACAATCAAGGTATTGTCAAATAATATACTCTCATTGGGTGATGAGAAATAATATTAAACTTACACATTTAATTCAACACCAAAATAAAATCAACCAAGAATGACGACGAGTCGCCGCATAATATAATTTGTACTTTTCAGCACTGTAAAATGCACTTGTTGGTTGCATTGAGTCGATAAGAACGTCATCACCTCATATCCCCTGAGGATGCCATTGGTATTCGGTTGCAGGACAGGCTCCCATGACACTTGGATCTCAAAAGCTGTCAGTGCAGTGACATTTATGCTTAAAGGTCCAACCGTTGGCTCTGTGAACAGTTAATTACAGTTATGGATGTTAAAATATGAAAATGTCATGTGCAATTTCACCAGCAGAGTACATGGATTGATGAAAACACATCCTTGCTGTCTATTTTGAGGTATGGAGGTATTGTACAGCATTAGTCCCCAACCACCAGTCCGCGGACCAGTACGAGACCTCGGCCCATTTAGGACCAGGCCGCACAGAAACAGACCTGCGAGCTGTGAGCAAATTTAGTCCATCAGACATGGCGGAAATTTCCGCGAATAGGAGGCAGCTTTTTAACATTTGTTTGTAAGTTGAAATAAATCAAATATTAAAATAAATCAAAGAAGAAGCACTAAACAGAAATAGTAACAAGTTGACCAAACGTACAGCGAAACACGCTGCGAATGGGCAGCCATGACTTCCGAAGATGAAGCTACTGTATTTTGACAAGAGAAGTGCCTACCCTAGCGGTATCTACAGAGGGAAGTGGAGGAGGAAGCTGTTGCGCGTGCTATGACGACAAAAACAAGGCAATACAAGAAACCTGTTGAATCATTAGAACAAGTAGCACCCAAGTGATCAAATGGAAAGCATGAAAATGCGAGCAAAGTTTGCACAGCCTGCCCCCGTAAACATTAACAGTTTCGTCGCTAATAATTAGCCGGCAGCCAGTCATGAAAGCAGCAATCAATCCTGTCATCTTTTGTTCAGTCACAGTTGCATGTAGCAAAGATGCACCGTATGCAGGATCATAACTTGAGCATTTATTATTCCTGATTGGTCCATTTCTTAATAGTTCACCGTGTTATTTTATTTTATTCTACATTTGTTGGGCAGTTGAATAATACTGTTTGAAATGCCTGAAAAAAATATATGCTCATAAAATGATTAATTCATCTATAATTATCTTTGTTGTTAGTACCAGTGCTTTAAAACTGGCAATTTAAAAGCAAAAAAAAAAATAAATAAATAGTTGCCGGTCCGTGACACACAAAAAAAAGTTGGGGGCCACTGATGTACTGTACAGAGAAACAGATGAGACCGCTGTGTCAACGCAAAGCTTCGGGTGCCCTCTGGTGGTCAAATCGTATAGCGTGCATAAAAAGGTGGGGAAATGTATTCTAATGACAATGTTTAACACAACTTACTATGTTTTGAGTTACGATATCCATCCATCTATTTTCTGATCCACTTATCCTCACAAGTGTCGCAGGGCGTTCTGTAGCCTATCCCAGCTGTCTTCGGGCAGGAGTTTACTTTGCAAATCAATCGACTGTTGATTTCAAGGAGGATTCCACATCCAACACACGCAAGTAGCGTTAAGTCGACTTCAAGCTCTAACAGTCATTAAGCAGTGGCAAAGGAGATGTGTCGATTTTATCCAGGGTTCCCACTCTTCCACTTGCTTTTTATTTATGGACCTTTTAAGGACGTTTGAGGGCTAATGTAGCCATTTTTAAGGACTTTTTCTCCATTCAGCAGGGGATTCACGGTCGATTTAATGCCCGCTCAGCAATATGCGGGTTGAACAGAAAGCCGCATCGCACTGAGCTGGTGTTCAAATCATACTGGATGTAAAATTTCCATTTTTCGACCTGTATAATAGGTAGGAAAATGAAAAAAAAAAAACGAATTCATTCTCAAATAAAGTGCAGTCAGTAAATTTTTAATGTAGATCAATATCAAACTTCAATTTATTTTCGAATAAAAATAAATTTGAAGGATTTTTATTAATTTGAGAAGCTTTCCCTGACAATAAAGAGCAATTAAGAACATCATTTTTCTTTTTTATGGATTTTTATGAACTTTAAGGACCCGTGGGAACCCTGTGTAACTGCAGTCTTTTTTTTTTTTTTTTTTGGACGGGCGTTCAAATTTTGCACATCATGTGAATTGTTTTGTGTACCGGTATTTGTTTATTGAGGTGAATATATGGAGTGGACACGTTGTGGTTAATGATCACCGGATGACACATCCAAACAAGCCAGATGACGGCAGATGGAGGCCGCCTAAAGGGATTACACCACGCAACTCTTTTAGCGCTCCGAGGCCACTCGCTCGAGTTTGGCGGACATCCAATTGTTAGCCAAGAGGAAAGGAGTCACTCGGGGTCAAGTTCATGCCAGGCTGCCGGGGGGGCGGAGGAACAAAAACCATTCAAGGCCGTACGGCTCCATCATATCATCTCCCGGGCCGAAGTGATGCCGGGAAACTGGGAGGCTGCTTGCCAGTGGGGGCGAGTGAACTTGCTTTGTGGACTCAGGTAGATTTTTTTCTCCCCCCACCCCCTGGGGCTCTTTTGACTTTTGTCAAATCAAGTCACCACCCTGAACCACAAACAGTCTCAAAGGGCTTCGCCTGGCCGCACTTGACAAATATTCATGACGCCCCGTGACTTTAACCACCAGGAGGGCAAAAACAACTCCAAACTGAGAGGCCTTGAGAAGGGGCCGCAGATGGGGAGAATCCCCCTTCTGGCATGCCGAGTACTAGTAACAATGAAAACGCGTGAGGTTTGATTATTATTTTTTACCTGGTGTCAGGTATGCTATTTTGAAGTTTCTGACACGGCAGGGTCTGTCATTTCCCCCCCCCACCCCCCCAGCGGTGAAAATGTCGTCCACGCTGCAGCAGCTCCTCAT